GTTGAGGGGTGGGCACGGCCCAGTCGCTCTCAATGAGATGCAGGAGACTTCCGCTGAGACTTAGGAGAAGGAGACTCTCGCTGCTTCCTGCGGGACCTGAACCAGCTCTGCAATAGCCCCCTCCCCCGCCCCCATCAGCCTATGGAAAGATTAGAGGGTTTTAAGGAACACTTGTCAGAGCTAGGAGTCATCAGCTTAGAGAAGAGTGTTCCCTGGGCCCGCCAAGGGATGGGGTCTGGGATAGGACACCCATAGAGCCTGAGCCTGGCATTCCATTCTCCAGTTCGTTCACCTGCGGATGCAGCAGAATTGCTCATTTGCGCGCCCCCCCCCCCCCCCACACCTATTTGAGCAGAGGAAAAGTAACCGGAGAGAGATGTCAGGGCAGAGGGAGGGGGCAGCCCCATTGGTGTGGCCAAAGTGTGCGTCTCCCGTGGGCCACGTGGATGCTGAGGAAGGCATGGAAGCTCAGAGCCAGCCATCTTGCCAGGAGATGCCAGCACCCAGCGGCATGAGGCAGGAACTGGCAGCCCCACCCTGTCAGTGAGCTGTGTAGTGGGGAGGTCCCAGGAGTGCTCTGAACAACTCCTCCAGGGCCCCATCCCAGAGGCCACTGTGGGGGAGGTGCTGAGAGAAGCCTCCATTACGTAGGAATGGGGGATCTGTTAGAAGGCCCCAACGCTGGGAGAAGGGGGCCCAGGTGGGGCAGGGCAAGGACAGGAAGGAGGGTGAGAAAACAGACCACTGGCCCTCCCCAGGGCAGCTTCCTCAGGCCACAGGTCAGCCTGAGCTAAGGAGATGGAAGGACATGAAATTGGATCTGAGACTGAAGTTTTAAACTGGACCAGACTAGTCTGGACTTTTCAATGCCTAAAAGTGACCAGAAATCTTTGAGATCTGTTGGAGGTATCATCAAGGAAAGGGAAAAGGAGATTCATCAGAGCACATTTAAAAGAAATAATTGGAGAAAACATGAAATGTTTCCATGTTTGTACCTCACTTAGGTCAAGACTGTTCAAAATACTGGTTCCACATCTGTCTTGAGACCACTAGGGCAGATCCTGTCTGCAAATGGAGTATGCCCAGAGTGAATGGAGCTGAAAGATGGGGAGAGAGAACAACCTGGGTTCCAGTGATAGAGTTTGAGCCCCTGTATCAAGCCATACCTGAAGGTAGATCTCCTCTTTGGAGTTTTCTGTTATGTGGGTCAATAAACTCCCCAGCTGATCTGAGTTAAGTTTTCTATCACTATTAACAGAAAGAATCCCGACTGATACAGTGCACATACACACTTTGTTCTTGGGGAGAGGGACACAGCTTTCATTGGATTCTCACAGGGCATTGCTATAAAAGGATACGGCTCAGAGGAAAGAAACTCTGGAGCTGAAATCCAGCGATCTCATTGACAAATACAAGGGAAACCGTTGGATGAGGTGTGTGGGGCTCTCCAGGGGCATCGTGGAAGAGCTAGGTCAGAGCATCCTTGGGTGTAGGGTCTGGGGCCTGAGTCTGGCATTAACTGGCACTCAAGAAATATTTGTTGCATGAAAAGCAACAGGAAAATTATAACAAGTCATACTCTACATGCAAATTTTCAGGAAAATATCAAATGTGTGAACATCTAATTTGCATTTCCGTGTCCTGACAGATGGCCCATATTAACAGAACTCTGGTTATAGTAAAGAAGGAAAAGGAAGGAAGGAAGGAAAGAAGAAAGGAAGGAAGGAAGGAATGGAGGGAGGGAGGGAGGGAGGAAGGAGAAAAAAAGAACCTACAAATACTCATTGAGTGGGTACCATGTGCAACACCTAACTATTAAAACAACTGTCAAATCAATTTTTTAAAAAAGACAACACCTATGTATTCCCATCTCTCAGAGACAGTCCCAACTATGACCTGGAGAAAGAAAATGACCTGGCTTATGGTGGGGGGGGGGGGGGTATCTTTCATGGCTGGGGCAGGGCTTTGGACCCTGTTTCTTCTTAGGAGAGGGGTCTGGACCCTGAGAGTCTAGGACTGACTTCTCAAGGTGGAACCAGGGACCACCTGTATCAAAATTACCTGGTTATGTTTATTTAAAATGTAGGTTCCAGGGGTGCCTGGGTGGCTCAGTTGCTAAGCGTCTGCCTTCGGCTCAGGTCATGATCCCAGGGTCCTGGGATCGAGCCCCGCATCAGGCTCCCTGCTCCTCGGGAAGCCTGTTTCTCCCTCTCCCAGTCCCCCTGCTTGTGTTCCCTCTCTTGCTGTGTCTCTCTCTGTCAAATAAGTAAAATCTTTAAAAACAAAAAACAAAAAAAAATGCAGGTTCCTAGGCCCTGGCCCAGATTTACAGAATAAGAACCTATGAGGAAAGGGCCCTGGCATCTGCATTTTAAACCATCTTCCCAGAGGCTTTTCTGTACATGAACGTTTGAGAAACTGTACCTACCAGAATCTGTTTATTTTCCTGTGGGGTCTCGGTGCCTGATGACATTCTGCACAGCCCCAGGGAAGGTGGTTCTCCCGGGGTTGGGGGGATTGGAAGGAAGCTGGGGTTTGGTGATAAAGTATCACCCTCCCTGAGGTCATGGTCGGTTAAGGCTATGTCAGAGGTAAGGGGTTGCGTGAGCGAGGGCCTCTGAATGGAAGCCAGTAACAGTCCTTGTGTCCTTGTGGTCGAGGAACATAACCAGATACATTATGATGTAGCTGGTGGGACAGACTCCTAGGGCCCCACAGCTCTCTAAATGACACCACACTTTCTAGACTTGATCATTTGCTGCCTTCTATTGCCCTGGAGGGTGTCATTTGGGAGGGAGGTATTGTTTTCATAGACATTATTATTTTTTTTTTTCAATTGGTGATTAGATTTCCTGAAGGTGAGGATCATGACTTCTACTTCCTAGAACTCTTGCCCCCTCTTCAACCCACCGCCCTGTCTCCCACACTGCTGACCACTCTCTAGGTGCTTGAAAGTCTTTAGTTTGACCTGTGTCCTGGTTTATTTGAGACCAGGGGGTGAATTCCCTTTATTGCCTTTACTGCTTTCCTGGGATAGCAGCCAGAGCTCCCTCTGGCATGTGCTCTCCCGAGTTCTCAGTCCTATGACATGGTTATGATTGACTCCAGGGGTGGGATTGACCGGCTTAAGCCCTTCTACGCCCCCATTCCCATGGCCATGATAGTTGGTTCCAGAACGGGCAGTGACCTAAGCATCCTGACCAGAGTGAACCTGAAGACTCTTGCTGAGAATCTGGGGCCACCAATTCTTTTCTCTCTTGGTAATGAGCAAGGAGGCCTGCTGGAGTCCTAGACATTCTTGGCAGGCTGCCTGGACTTTGAGAGGAAAGCACATGAGAATGGGGCCGTGACTAAGGATGCACAACCAAGAAGACACGGGGACCTGAAGCCACATCTATTCCTAGGCTGTTCAGTGAGCTGTACTGATAAGTACTCCCCCCACACCCCCGCCGCCATTTTTTTTTTTTTTTTTGCTTAAATCAGTTTGGGTTGGGTTTTGTTATGTGCCATTAAATGTATCCTCATAGATATGCCCTTTAGCTCCCCTTACTTCTCTTGCAGTAATGTACCCCTGTCATCTTGGGTCCCTCCTCAAACAAACAAACCGACAGACAGACAAACAGACAAACACCACAATTACCCATGAAACAGGATAAGATGGGTGGTGGGAATAGGTAGTAGGGTTATTTGGATGCATGGCTTATGGAGACTCCATGCCCAAAGAATATTGATTAATGGATCAATGTCAACCTGGAGGGAAGCCCTGTTCTGTTCAACATTTTAATCCATGACTTGGATGGAACTGGAGGCATGCTTAGCAAGTCTCAGATGACACAGAGCTGGAAGAATTGCTAATATGACAGATGGCAAAATCAAGATTCAAAATTATTTTGACTGACTTGAGCAATAATAAGGATAAATACAAACTCTTGCATCTAGGCTCAAAAAAATCAATTGTATATGCAGTGGATGGTGGAGACCTGGCTTGGCAGATGTCACAACAGTGTGGAACTTGAAGTGGACTATAAGCTCGTGATGAGCCCGAAGTTGAGGCAATTAGGAACACAGTTAATGAAGTTTTCAAATATTTGAAATAACAAAATATTTGAAAAATGCCTTGGTGAAGAAAGGCTGACCTTACATCTACTTCCCCAGTGGGATAAAGAAGTAGAATTTTCTGGAAAGCAGTTTTCAGCTCAATATCTATAAAAAGTTTCTAAGGATTCTAACAACAGGCCACCTCCCCCAAATTGTGAGTGTAATAATTGTATCAGAATGGAATAGAAAAAAGTCTCTTAGGGTGGTCTTCCCTTTAAAAGCACAGATTTTAAAAATGATTTTAACAACTAGTAAGTCAAAGCAATACACACAAAAGCATCTGGAAAAATATGAGGTCTTAAAGTTGCCTCGCTCAGCACCCCTGAAAGTTTGCTTCAAATTCTCCAAAGAGGAGGCTCATCTAGAAGGAATATCCAGAATCTAGACTCAGCGCTGACCAGCCCCATCTCACCTCACTCCATTTACAGCCCTCGTCCTCATTCCTGCTTTGGCTTGGCCCATCCTTCTGTCTGCTCCTGCAAGTTAGGACTCGGTTCCCTTTCCTGCCTCACACCTGCCCCGCAGAGAGAGTGCTGACTCCACAGCCAGAGCCCTGGGAAGCCACACCTCCTTCCAGTCCCTGCCCCGTGACCCTCACTCCCTCACTTGCAGCTAAGACTTTGAGCCTCCCGAGCCAGGCCTGGTTTCACGGAAGGCCCCAGACGGTGAAGTATATGTACAAGACACCTTCTTTTCTTTCTTTTTTCTTTTTTTCTGTTGTTCTGAACACGTCCTTTTACTTCCTCACCCAGAGAGGTGGAGAATGTGTGCAAAACAGCCCAATTTCATCTTATAAACTTAGAATGTGGTTTTCACGAGGAAGTTATCAATATCATTAAGTTTCACTTCTACCAACACAAAATCATATGTCCTGCGGATTTCGCATGGATGACTGTACTCACGTATTTCTCATTAAAGCAGTCCACCTCTGTCAGAAGCTTCTCTTGGCAGTCAGGGTTGGTGGCCAGGAGGTAGGTGGCAAAAGAGAGCGTGTTGGTGACGATCTCGTAGCCAGCGATGAGGAAGATGAAGGCCTGGCCTACAACCTCGTCCACAGTCAGTGGCTTGGACAGGCGGCCGGGCTGGTGTGGCTGGGAGGGACCCGCGGCACAGTCGGTGGAGGAGAAGATTTGTCTGACCATATCAAAGCTGTCCACCCCCACAGAGGTGGCAGAATGTCGGGCATCCAGGATCAGTTGGAGGAAATCTCTCCGCCTCTACGGACAGAAGGAAAAATACCCATTCCAGCCTTTGAGTCACACGAGTGAGATTTCTTGGAGCTCAGAAGAAGAAGACCTGCACGCATAGCCTTTAATGGGCTTGAGCCTGATGGGAACCAGCACCCTCACCGCGGGCTTCTCTGAGATGGCGAGAACCTGGCAGCCCCGAATTCCCTTACACGGCACTGGTTCTCAGACTTAGGTGCAGCAAACCGCAGAGGGTGACGCTACCATTAAAAAGGATGAGGCCCTTCTATCTGGGCTGATTGGGAAACATGTTAAGCCATTTTGGGAAAGAAAAAATAGAGCACGTTGCAGAACAATACGCAGAGTGGAATCCCATTTCTGTAAAAGCGGTACATGTGCAATATATATAATTACACGTATTTGTTCATGCATAGAAAATGTGTAGCAACATCTATACCCAGAGGCTCACAGTGAGATGGAGGAGGTGGGAAAACCGGGCGCGCGGGGGGGGCTTTGATTTTTTTTTTTTTACTTTATACATGTTTGAACTGTTGGTTGGCTGCTTGGTTTTCCAACAATAAAACAATTAAAACATCATACAGATTTAAACCAAAGCGTGTGCTCCCTTGTTCCCTTATGCACCGTTCAGGGCTCGGACGGGTGGCCACACACTTCCCTCACACTAAGTAGGAAGCTGACAGAGCTGCTCCTTGGGGAAGCTCGTCTTCAAAGACCACCCCCACCCTCGGGTCCCTTTTTCCCCACTGATCCCCTACCCCATTTAAGTGCTTAGAGCTTTCTTACCGTCTTCCCCTACCTTCCTTATCAGCAATTTGCATATTCTTTATGTTTTTCACTACCACTAATTGTAACAATAGAAGCTTTACGTCTTGCTTTCCGCATTGACAAAGTGTACCACCCCCCCGCATATCCCTTCTTCGAAAAGTGTGTTAATGTGATGAGTGACAACCAGTATGTTACTCTTTTCTGAAGTTTATGGGCCCAGACCAGGAAAGGGAGGGTGTCAGAACCACCAGCAGAAACAGATTGTGATTTCAAAGTCCTTTACTTGGTGCGGCGTGTGCTCAATTCATTGGCTTCTGAATTTCTATCGCATTAATAATCGATGGCCCACACGTCAGCACTGAATCCCATCTCGTAAGATTGTTGTTACGTGTTGTTGCTTTTTCTCCTCCGTGAGCGTATAAACACGTTCAGGGCAGGACCGTGTGGCCCACCCCTGGCCTGATGTGGTGCTGAGCACCTGTTAGGCCTGTGATAAACAACCCTGCGAAGAACAATGTGACGCAGTAACGCGTTTTGAGAAAGGCTGTGTTGGATTTGCTTCCGAGCGCACGCTATTTGGGGCGGGAGCCTTGGGGCTGAGGCCTTTGTAGCTTGACTGCTTCCCAGCTTCTGTGACCTTGCAGGACATCGCCTGAGATTCCAGCAGGTTCTCGCAGCTAAGCCTGTGGGCCCCAAGAACATTGCATCTCGGGAGCGAAGGCCTCGGTATCCTGCCGGCCGGCTCAGCTGAGCCACAGTTGGTTGTCTCTTGCCACCCCGGCCCTGCTCACTCCGATTTCCAGGCGGCATCCTCAAGGGCTGGCTTTCCCCCTATTCGCTCCTGATGCTTGGCCAACATTGGGGCGGCTCTTGGGGCTCCACTGCCAGCCCTGGTCCCAGGGGCCAGAGTCGGGACAGGGCAGGGCACTGTGTGTGAGCAGAGTACCTTCTGTTACTTTGGCTCCTGGGTGAGCATTGCCAGGCCTGTCAGCTGGGGGAGTGTTAATCTCCTTGGGGCACCACGGAGTTGTCCCTCCGGCTCCCCGGTGTTTTGCTGGAGGGGGACAGGGACGATGGCGGGTGGGAGAGCTCCGGCGGCTTTTTCCAGTGGTAGAGCTGGGGCTGGCACCCTTTCCCCTCATCCCTGCTCAGACAGGCTGCTAGAGGGCCATCGGGCATGGCAGAAATCTGTTTTCACCTCCAGCTACCAAGGCCGGCTGAAAGGGCTGCTCTCTGGGGCCTGGGCGCCAGAGAAGAGCATTAGTGTAGATGCGTTTCTTGTATTTGCACTGCATCAGCGACGGTATTTGAACAGTGCCCATTTAGGACCGAAACAGAGCGGCTTTATGGTTATAATGGTTATACCCAAGAAAAGTACGCACCCTGATAGATGTAGGTGTCTAATCCACCCATCGGCTAGAGCTTAGAAAAATATTTACCTTTTAACATCTGTGCTGCATTTTCCACTGCGCAAACACACATCTGCTTGATGGAATGTCTACAGAGTTTAGATGGGTTTAAAGCAAGTTTTCTTAGTAACCATATAGCTCTGTCTTGACGCGGGCAGTCCTGGATTTGTGGTTGGGAGGTTTTTCTCAGATCAGCTCATTGTTTGAAACAAACAGCTCTCGAGTTTATAAAAGGAAGAGCTCGAGGCAATCCTAGTAATTGGATCTTTAATAAACCCCTCACCTCTTAGTAAGCCATTCGGCGCAACCGTTTTAGAATTTTCAGCCTGATTCCACAGCCTGTGGGTTTCAGGCTGGGGGAGGGGCGGGGGTGTGTGTGAGAAAAGTGTCATCGGGAAGCCCTTCAGAGCAATGCTGAGGTTTTGAAAATGCAGCTTTCCTCACCGCTCCTTCCCCAGGCTTCATCCTCATTCTGGAGACGCAGGAACCCGGATGAGAACATTCTGTCCTTTTAGGTGGCGGAGCGGGGCCAGGGATACCAGTGAGGGGATTCTTCCCACACCTCCAAGGGCATCGAGTGGAGTTCACGATGGTGTGTGCCCCAAGGGGCCGGGAGCTTCTATACACCTTGCCCTGCCTTCTGAACAGGGACACCTTTGCTTTCCAGTCTCCAGAGGGGGAAGCCAGGCTGGCCGAGGCTGCTGCTGGTGCATCCAGCCACTAATTGACCCCCCGATCTCATTCTGGGCCCAATGGCGCAACTACGGGATCTCACGGCGTCCCTTGTTAATCCCTCTGAGCCAGTCTTTCAAGCTACTCTCTCAAAGCTCGCACAAGTCGGTTCCTGAGAAGACGTTTTAGCCCTGTCTTTTCCTTTTAAAGCAACTTTCTTGAATGCAGTGAGGCCCTTAAAGAATAGCATTGCACATGCATGAGTGTATCCAACAGTGAAATTATTTTCCAAACCCTGGAAAGTCCTATTTCTGTTCTCAGCCGAGTTCAAACAACAAATATTTCCTGGATTCCCACTATGCACCAAACATGGTGCAAATCTTTAAGGAGGAAAGAAATCTCTGGGTCTCGGATGACACACGAGCGAGCCCTCCGCCCCAAACTTTGTAGCCACATCCTCCATGCCGAAAGCCAGTCGGGGGGGGGGGGGGGCGGTTAATTGCCCGCTGCCCAGGCTCCTCCCTACTGCGGACGCTCTTCAAGCTGTAAAACTGCACCTTGCCGACTTTCAGTAGAAAGAATATGCTGATGAAAAGTCCATGTTGGCACATTTACCTAGAAAATTCTTTGGGGCTGATGTTGCCGGTGCTTGAAATAGAGAGGCCATGAATTTGGGGGGGCACCCATGTCAAAATGTGGACAATTTGCTCTGGGCTTCTCTCTACCGTCCCCCCCCGCCCCCCCCACCCCAACCGTCCTCACCTTTCTCTTCCATGTTCGCCCCTCCTCACCCCTTCTCCTTTCCTTCAAGTGCCCTGGAAAGCTCTAAGCGGTGGCTGCTGAAGGCCAGCGTGCTGTGGTGTGCGGGGCTGGGAGGCAAGAGACAGGGAAGGGAGCGCGGTGCCACATTAGGCCCCGTTCCGTTTCCACGCCGTGTCCTATTAAGATCCCTTACCTCTTCTGCCGCTTGCTGGTCCCGCAAGGCAATCATATTCCTAATGAGTTTGTTAAAAAAGCCATTCAGTTCATCTCGGTTCTTACTGGGCAAAATCCGGGCCAGTGGGACCATTATGGATGGAAATGATACTTGAAAGAGAAAAACAAAAGCTACGCTGAAAACAGGGCGGCAGTAACCCGGAGCTATCCAATGCCTGTTGCCCGGGAGGCAGACCCCGGCCTTGACTTGACTTAGAGTCACCTGAAGGCAATGGGGGCTCCCCTCGGTCCGAGCTTTCCCACAGGGCCCGTGCCTGATTCCACCTCCCCACGCCTCACTGTCCCTTGCACGTTGTAAGCACTCCATACGTGTCTGCGCAATTGAATCCGCACTTCCCTCTCGCCCCCAGGAAGTCAATCTCATACTTAGAAGTTAGTTTTCCAGGTCCCAGATAGGAGGGCCCAAGGTCTTCGTATTCCATCAAGAAAGGACAGATGATGGGCCACGTTTCCCATCTGAGCAAGTGGTGGAAGCTCATCTACTTTCTTAACTTTCTGGCCGTTTGCATTTGTTTCGCACGGGGTCACTGTCCCCGGAGCTACCACCGGAACGGTCCCTAAGAGCTGCCCAGGCCACTGCTGGCACGAATGCTGGCCCCTCGATACCTCCCTTGCTGTGCCAGGCGCGGCCCCGTGCCTTTGCTGCCACGGGCTTGGCAGGGCTCCCCGGGCCAGGGACACTTATCCTCTCGTGGAGCAGGGTCTAGGTCGAGGGGCTGAGCTGCTGCAGGGGGCCTCAGGTCAGCTCAGCTTCCCAGCATGGACAATGGGCCCACCGTGCACAGCACTGCATGGGAACCTGGATCGGGAGGGTAGTTCTGGACCCTCGGAGCTCCCAGAACACTCTGCCCATTTCCAAGAGCCAGAGTCCAAACCGCTGTGGTGCAGCAGGGAGGTGGGCTCAGAGTGGCCGAGAGAGGAGGGGTAGCTGGGGCGGGACAGCGGAGCCGCCCACCGCAGGGCGTGTCTGTGTCCGTGTCCGTGGTCCATGGCAGGTGGAGCTGACTTGGGGGAGCGGCTCCCAGGGGGTGGCTGGGGTGAAGGACAAAAGGGAGGCTGCTTTGACCCCCTTGGCGACCCCTCCTACAATTTCAGTGAGGAGCTGACGCAGGTGCTGGGGACTTCCACAGAAATGGGCTCAGAAATGGGAACGAAACTGACCAAGGAATGAATACAATTTAGCAGCCCAGCAGAAAGGTTAGAAGTTAGGGCAATAATCAATAACAGCAATAGCAACACTTCAATACTTCCATAAAAGCAAGAAGGTGCCGGAATTGGCCAGAGGGCAAAAACTCACTTCTGAAATAAAAATAAAATAAATCGACCCGTCCCCACGGCATTAGGTAACCTGCCAATCACCCTTCACGTATGATTTCTAGTTTGCTGTGCGCCGGGCTTCCAGCGGAGAAGACTTCTGAAGAGGATTTTGCTGGAGGGGAGGAATATGTTGTAGAAAATGAAAGGCTTTGGGGGTGCCTAGGTGGCTCAGTCGGTTAAGCGTCTGCCTTTGGCTCAGGTCCTGATCCCAGGGTCCTGGGATCGAGTCCCACATCGGACTCCCTGCTCAGCGGGGAGTCTGCTTCTCTCTCTGCCCCTCACCCTGCTCACGTGCTCTCTCTCTCTTGCTCACTTGCTCTCTCTCAAATAAATAAATACATAAATAGATAAATAAGAAAATGAAAGGCTTTGGGCTCCCATCTTGGCTCTGCCTTTTTTTTTTTTTTTTAAGATTTTATTTATTTATTTGACAGAGAGAGACATAGTGAGAGAGGGAACACAAGCAGGGGGAGTGGGAGAGGGAGAAGCAGGCTTCCCGCGGAGCAGGGAGCCCGATGTGGGGCTCGATCCCAGGACGCTGGGATCATGACCTGAGCGGAAGGCAGACGCTTAACGACTGAGCCACCCAGGTGCCCCTTAGCTCTGCCTTCCTAAGCTTCAGTTTTCTCATCTGCAAAGTGGGGATGAGGCAGCGCGAGCAAAGTGCCCAGCACGGTCCTCCCTACAGCAGTGGCAAGAGAGGCCCGCGCTCCCTGCCTTGGTAATGAGTGGCCCCGGCTGGTTCCAGGAGCATGAGGCCTCTGCGGGGTGGACCCTGCAGGGCGACTCTCAGAGACCCCTCGAGTGCCCCTTGCTCGTGCTGGGGGCTGAGCCCCGAGAGCTGCTGGGCCCACCCCGCAGGCATGGGGCCCGGCCAGCTTGCCCGACCCCGGTCTTACCGCCCCGGGCAGGAGCTGTACTTACAGATCAGGACCAGGACAGGCCTGGGGATGGAGAATGCAAAGAAACGCCTGCAGTGCATCACAAAGGGGTGCTCGGGGGCCCTTCGGGAGTCCACCTGGGTGCCAAAGGCAACACTGGCAACCACATCCGTGGTGTAGCAGGTGTAGCACCTGTGGGAGAGGGAGCCATTTGGGTTAGGGAAGGACTCTGCCATTGGCCTCGCTCCTAAAGAGGCACCGCTCCACTGTCTACCTGCAGGAAAGGGAAGCTCCCTGCAGAGCTGAAGTGAGGGGGCGGGAGAGGAGCCCCCCACCCCCCCGGCCCCGGGATGGGATCCTTTGAACATGGCAACAGAATTCCAGAGGAGACACAAAAACATCTCGGATGGCTGATGCCAACGAAGACTGGGGAGGCGAGGAGAGCATCACTTCCTCGGCTCTCAGGCCTCGGGCAGCCTGAATCAACCAGCCACCGTCAAATCCCCAGAAGTATGCTCTAAATCTTCCTCCCCGTGGAGGAGGGAAACAGATGACCCAAAGCCCATGCTGTATCGTCCCAAAGCTGTGCAGAGTCCGTCCAAAGCCAGGATCGAGTGGTTAATTGATACAGAGCAAGTTGGGACTGATGAATTGGCATCCTGGTTGTCTAGTTTTATAAGCTTTGTCCCCCTCTTCCTCCTAATGATTGTGCAGTTTTTCTAAGAGTAACAAACCAAAAACAAGGGCCCTTCACACTCGAATAAATACAAGACAAACTTTGGGACCAGCTTCATGAACATATGTATATTATTACAGGAAACACGCGTTGCACTTTAGAAACAAACAGAAGGAAAAGTGTCTGGCAATAGCTCCAGAAAAATTAACCTCTTCAGCTCCAGGAAACCTGCCCTCGAAGGGCCATTTTGGTATCTTGCGGGAGCAGTCAGGTGAAGTTATTTCTAAGAAAAGCTACCAACGGGGTATGCATATCCTCTTATAACGAAAAGTTCTTATTTTTGTGGCTCGACGGGGGGGGGGGGGGGGGGGCACACACGGAGCTCCTTTCCTTCCAGGTTCTATCACCACCAGCTTATCGTTAAGGAATAAAAGACGTCTCCAGACGACGTCTTTTATTTTGACTGCTTTATTGAAAACATTCCTACAATTGATTACACATGTCCCACTATAGCGAAAACAGTTTGCCTACTGAATGTGATTGCTTCTGATCCTAGCGGCCCAAGAATTCAGGGTTTTTAAGTTATTTACTTTGCTTTCGTAGTTGCTCTTTAGCCAGCTCACACGGCTCATGACCAGAGAGCAAAGTGTGTGCGAGGATTTTGTAAACACCACGGCAGAATTTGAATGCTGGTGATGGTTATGTTATTACTTTATTAGCAATGATAATAGGAACGAGTCGGCTTCTGGCTGACCTGCCTCGCTCACCCTACTCCTGTGCTGTAAGCCATAACTTAGCCTAGGACAACTGGAGGGGAAGCCAGATAATCAGCCATTTAAATTTGGTGTCCACCGCTAAGTAATGGCTTCTAGTCTGGGGAGCACAATTCTTCTTGCAGTAAAAATGCATGGACTTTCCCCGCCACCAGCACCCGCCCCCCGCCAGAACCCTGTCCTCTCTGCCCCCTCCTGCATCTGCAGAGGCAAGAGGGCGTGTCCACCCACACACCACTCCCCACTCAAGGCTTCCCTCACCATGCCACACCTACCCTGGGCTTTGTTCACATTCTCTTCACATTTTACGTGGATTTCATTTCTTATTATTCAGTCCACCCATGCTTTTTATGAGCTTCTAGCATTTCCACAGTTTGCTGGTCCCGAGGTAATTGTCCAGCAATTATGTACAGTTACAAGAAGCAGCAATTCAAAAGCACGATTTCTCATCTGTCCTGTATCCACGTAGCACCCTTACCTCTGGATGTCGAAAGCGTCCCCAGATTCCGCATAGTGTTTTAAGTGAGCCAGGAGCAGATCGCAGGCTTGGCTGATTAGGGGCATCATCTGATAGAAGATAACAAAGGGGTAATTAGGACACCATGCAGGGAGCACACCTAAATTAGCTGCAGATAAAGAGGTTATGTGTGGCGCTTCCTGGGAAAACAGACCTTGTTTTCAAGGTTAACTTTCATGCAGCTAAGACTCAAGGGGAGGGTCTGAAATTCACAAATATCATAAAATACAATAGCTGTAAACGTCTGTTTTAGCTTACACAATCTGTTCTTTTGGAAGCAAAAAGAAGAAAGGATTTAGAGTAAATACTGTGAAATAATTACAAAAATGATCATTAAGGGCTTAGACAGAAATGAGAATCAGTACTTGGTTTCATGACATTTGGTTAGCATTAGAGAGTAAATAGACCACAATCCATATGTACTCTCTCTGGAATTAGCCCAAATCCATGTTTGCTTGGTTCCAATTATACTTTAGGTCTTCTGCTAGAATATAGAATCGTAGTCTCCAAAGGAACGTAAGGTCGTCCATTTCAACTTTTTACTCAATACAAAAATCACTTGTAGAGCATTTCTGAGGGGTGGCTATTCATTTCTGCTTCAGCTGCTTAAACCTCTGAATACGTACATGTAAGGGAACCCTTGACTTCAAGACGCCTTCCATGCCCACCCAGAAAAATTGCTGAATTTCTTTTTTTTATATTAAAATATTTTCATTATGGAAAACGTCTAGCATATGCACACACAGAGAGAATGGTATCGTGAACATTCATGTAATTATTGTCCAGCTTCATCAAGTTTGGATCTCATTTTTGGCTGCCGCCACTCTGACCCCAGCAGGCTGGCTCAAGTGGGTGGGATTCTTTGCGGAGCCTGATGGCCACCCATGTGATCTTCTATTTTCTCCTGTATGTTTGCAAAGCCAAGTCGGAAACATCGAGGGGAATCCTTCTAACCAGTGTCTGTTCTAGAATGACACCATAGCTAAAGCAACATGCCATAACATTGTTCTGAGCATTTCTTTTTTTTTTTTTTTAAAGATTTTATTTATTTATTTGAGAGAGAGAGAGAGAATGAGAGACAGAGAGCATGAGAGGAAGGAGGGTCAGAGGGAGAAGCAGACTCCCTGCCGAGCAGGGAGCCCGATGCGGGACTCGATCCAGAGACTCCAGGATCATGACCCGAGCCGAAGGCAATTGCTTAACCAACTGAGCCACCCAGGCACCCCTGTTCTGAGCATTTCTTATGGAAAACATTTTCGAAATGTTAAATATGTTCAGATTTTACGATTTTGACACTAGAATGTAACTTCCTGAGCGCAGGGAAGATTTTTGTCTTCTTGTCTCTTTGTCTTTTTGTTCATTTTTATGTCCACAGAACCTAGAACGATGTCTAGCACATAGTAATTATTTGTTGAACGAGGGAATGAATTTGAATGAATACTGAAGACCCAGTCTTTGCCTTTAAAAGTCTGGAGGCTTTAGGGAAAGTTATAGGATGTTAATCTACTTGTTAGAAGGTATGTTGTGCTGAGGCCAAAATCTGGCCCCTCTAACAACCTCTCACTGGTTTCAGTTGACTTCTTCCATGTGGTTCAAATACTCCGACAGCAAAGCACTGCTCCTCCTCATCTTCTAGACGATTGTCCCCGTCCCTTCAACCGCTCCTCGTGCAACACGGTCTGCGCACACTTCTCCATTCTTATCATTCACTCTCTCTCTCATCAGTGTTACTCCTAAAAGGCAGCTCCATAAATGGAACACAATATTTCAGGTAAGATCCCACAAATCGTAATTGGATCACTTCCCTGCCTGCCAATCACAAGCCCAGGTGTATGCGGACTTCCAGAGAAGACACGTAGGACAGGCAAATATGGAGGTTCGGGTCAACAAAAGCTACAAGGTCTTTTTCCACAAATCATCACCATATGCAATTGAGTTTTTGACACTTCAGACTCCATTCATTAGAAAAGCTTTATATTTACGTTACATTTATTGCTGTAAAAAGTTGTCCTGCCATGTGTTCTGAGCAGGACAATCTTTTAACTGCCCTAAAACATTCAGGTGATTGGAGAAGCCGGGCACAGTGGGACAGCCTGGGTGGCTGTTGGCCAGATGTTGGAGGGACACATGGCTTTGTTGGACCCCTCCCTCCTGTAGGTCTGCTAGTCACCCCATGTGTTCTGGAGTCTAAGGACAGAACTGTGATACCAGGGGCCCAACTGTTTGCTGTGGGAGCCCTCCCTGGAGGAGATGGTGCTGAGAAGCAGAAGGACACCCCTGGTGAGTAAGAGTGAGCTGTAGGCTAAGCTCAGGGCCATGTGAGTTTCCAGAGTGGGGACGATGGCCTGGGCAGCACCTAAGGGCAGGTCAAGGAGCAGACATTCAGAGCAGAGTACACCCCCGCACTCAGTGGAGAGATGGCAGAGCATCTGAGATTCTTCCTTGTTGCCAAGACTTCTGGAAGAAGCACCTGGAGAGGAAAATTCTGAGAAAAAGGACTTTCTGCTCATCCAGCTTCAAGGGCTGAGAGCACCAGAGTGCTTGTACTCAGTGTAGGTGGGCCACGGGGTGTACTCACACATTCAAATCTCATCTCCTGTAACATTGGTGATTCCTTCTTGTTCCATCTGAGATTTGGTAAGTGTGCCTTCTAAGCCTTCGTTCGGTTTGTCAATGTTTATCCAGGAGCAAACACAGAGCCTGTGGCCCTCCACTAGAGTGCTACTTTAGGTAGCTACAGAATTGGTCAGTCATCTCGGTTTCTGGCTCTTTGGCCAGCTGTGCGTGAACCTAGTAAATATTCAGCCAGGCAGCAACTGATCAATAAGGTGGCCGGGTAAGTTTGTCAAATGATTTGCCAAAATAGGAATGGAATTTACCTCATATGCCTATCCTGAAGTCCGCTCAAAACAGGGATGAGAATCGCTATCCTGATTTATTCTTCGTAACTCTGGGTGGACTCTTCATGACAACTGCATTCTTTTCTAAATGTTCACCCACTGTCAATTTAATAATCTCTCAGTACAAAAGTGCGTGTAAATGGGTCACTTTTAGTGGCCTCTGGGCCATCACTCTCAAAAAATCTTAGACTACCTTCGTGTTTGGAGAACTCTACTATCTCATCCACATTTCTGCGACTGCCTTCGCTGGCTATATCCTTCCATTATTTTAATAGACTTAGTGGTACAAGTGAACTCTATTTTAATAAAATCCCATATACCAAAATTTCTCTTTGATTTATTTCAGAGGAATAAGAACGTGGTAAAAAAAGAAAAATGCTGTTCGAAAGGAAGTCTTTTTAGATATCAAGCTTACAGCTCCCTTAATGTAACAAAAATGGTGTGCAACATAAAATTAGATTTATACTCAACTCTTCAGAAGCACGCCCTCTGCATAAAGAGGGGTCCACCCGTACTCAATCCAGTCATATGCTGAACAGTGCAAAGGGGGGCTGGACCCACTGCCCACCCTTGGTTCCTCTACAAGCTTGTAACTAGAATGCTTTGTGGCTGATGGGCATGATTGTAATTTTCTACCATGCTCTGCTTGCTGTCTGTTGCACTGAATGGATGATGACATTTTTATTTGGGTTAATGTGATATGAGATGGGCCATGTAATATGAAAAATGTTTTAAGAAGCAATGCAGAGAAAATATTGTAAGACAGTGGAGCATGATCTGTATGTTGGCCAATAGGCGTCATTTCAGGCTTTCTTCCTTGCATTATACACAAGAAGTTATGGAATATTCACTCTCACATGAGTTGCATACAAACAAAAGCTCTCTTTGATGGGCTTGCAATCATCTTTATACAATCCACAAGCCCAGCAGTTACTCCCCTGGATTTGCAGACAAGCAGACATGGGTGGCTTGTGCAAACACACACGCACAGATGAGCACACAATGCTATCGTCAGATCTTAATAAAAGATTCTCATTTGATTGTTACATTTCATCCTTGTAGGATAATGAGAAATTTTTATTTTTGTTTTTTTCCCACAGTTTTCATAATGCATGGACATGATACTTATCATCAGATAAAATATTAATGTTATTAGGTTTTAAAAGAATGATTTCTTCTTGGGGATGACAGTCTAACAGCCACACCCGAGGAGAAAGGGTTCCCATTTTGCTTCTCTCACCTCTCACATGGGTTGGCTTTATTCTAGATGATGCTGAGCATGCGGCTGGTCAGCCATTTGGAAACTAGCAGTCACCATCAAGGGTAAAGTACCACCCTCAGCCTAGGGAAGAAATTCTTCAAGGAAGGAAGGAAGTCCTTGCTCTGGACTGCTCTCTACCTGGAGTTGACTGTATTATTAAATCACCCAGTTAAAAAAAAAAAAAAGGATTTTTTTACAGACTGTGCCTGAGGAATTCTGAGTCAAGGTATAGACAGAGGGCAATAGAATTAATTTAACAAGGTGGAGAGAACTTTCTGAGTGATCAAAAGAGACAACTCATGGGGTAATGACAAAGAAGGGCTAAGAAATTCTCCCGCTCATAGGCTTTCTTCTCTCCTTCTAGGTGATTCCCAGAATTTCTTCAGTGGTGTTTCCTTCTCTGAGGCTAAGATGCTGACCTTGTTAAGTAAACTTGACCCTGGGAGAGCAAATTCTCAAAGCCACTGCCAGTTGTTAGATTTTTTCTGCTTGGCACTTCTTAGTTGTGTGGCCTTGGGCAAATTGCTCAACTTCAGTGAGTCTGTTTCTTCATCTGCAAAATGGGAATAATAAGACCTTCTTTGAAGAGTTGTGACAGCAATTAGAAATATGTAAAAGGCTTGGCACTAGAAGGCAGGCCAGCTATCCTCTGGAGGACCCTCATGCTCCCAGACTGCTTTGGATGCCTGGCACCATTTTCTTTCCTCTTATTCCCATTGGATCCACCTGTTCTTGTCTCACCATGTTATCATTAGTTCCTTGTCTCTCTCCCTTCATCTCTACCTCCCCATCGACTACTCTAATTCAGGCTTTGCCACCTGTCACCTGGAATGTGGCTGTCATCCTGCTTCTTGAGAACAAAGAAGCGTAAGCATCTTTGTAGTCTCAGTACTTTGTATTGTGCCAGACATATAGGTGGACTAAAAAACAATTTTCAAAGAGCTTCCTAGCCCTCTTTCTTTTCACTTTCAATCCATTCTGTACTCAGTCATCAGATTGGTCTAATGAAAATACTTGTGGGGACATAGATTGAAGGACATAGAACAAGCTTGTTATCCTATTTTCCAAAGCCCACTAACAACTGAATCCTGCCAAGAACCATGTGAGTAAGCTTAGCAGATTTTCCCCCAGTCAAGCCTTCAGATGAGATCATAGCCCAGGCCGACAGTTTGATGACTACATGCAGAGACCCTGAAACAGAGGTGCCCGGCAAAGCTGTGCCAGATTCCTGACCCACAGACACCATGAGCTAATAAAGTTTTGTTGTTTTAAGCTGCTAAGTTTTGGGGTAATTTGTTACACAGCAATGGGTAACTAACTAATATACTTTCAATGTCACCCTCTTGTGGCAACTCTTGTGTGTTGTCATGTATTATTGAAGTTTTCAGTATTTGTTCTATCAGGAATGAGCTCAGTGCAACACATGCAGTTGCATCTCTAGAAATATCTATGCGATGACAGGTTGACTGAATGTTCCTTGAGGGCCTTGACATAGAAGGAATGTTAATTGATCAACGAGCTCTTTCTGTCTGAGCACGAATGCAGTGCAGTTTGCTGGGCGCTGGCTCTGTGTGAAAGATCTGGTGCCCATGCTCGTTCTACCTCTTACTTTGGGCAAGTCATTTGAGTTTCTCTGATGGGGTCCTCACCCCCAAACAAGGGGCCAGTTGCAGTGCACTATAAAGTCCCTTTCCATGGACACTCTAGGATCTGAATGAGGTCACTAAGCAACAGATTGAGACAGTTACTTAGGGACCATGGAAAGAGCAGGCAACTTCCTAGTTTGGCAGAGTGAAGAGTTGGATGCATGAGCCTCTCTACTTGCTCCAACACATCCCAAGACCCCGTAAGAAAGTCTTATTATATCTCTTTCATGCACTGACTTCAGAATTACATAAAGACCTAAATCTGGTTATTTTTATGTTTCAATAATTCAGTAAAAGTGAAAATTAGAAATTCAGATCCTCTGACTCCTGGTTTGTTGCTTTTGCCTCCACATTCCCTTTGTTCCTCAGTCAACTGACTTCTAGGTTATAATTTCACTTAATGCAGCTCTGATGCCATGAACTTGGAAAACAAACAAACAAACACCATTAAACCCTTGGCGCCCCCTGGAACTTTGGAGAACAGAGTCAGCCCGAAGGCTCCTGAGCAGGGAGAGGGAAAGAGAGGGTCCCTTCTGCATTATCTCGTACTTCTAAACTGAGATGCCCCCCACACTTTGATGGTGTAAAGGCAGGGTGACTCATGGTCTACATATGAAGAGGGATTCAGAAAAGAGCCTGAGCAGAGGGCCCCACCCTAAGATGAAAATGTGGCTCCCGGGAGCTGTGTCCCCCCCGCCCCCCCCACCCCAGGGCCATGGAAAGTGGAGACTCCAAAGGTATGACTTGCAGCTGTCCTCATCTGTTCCGGAAGTGTCTGTCGCAGGATCTAGGGGGAAGTCTCGCATCCTGCAGGCTAAATGGCTGAAACCCCTTTCCTTACTCCCCCACTTTCAAGTACTTAATAGCTCCTCGCCCTCCAGTGAAGCTCGCACCAAACACTCCCCCGGCACAGAACTCTCTGTGCCTCAACCTACTTTTCCAGTTTTCTCTCACTAATCCCTTACATGTACCCTGTGTTCCAGCCAATTTGTACTCCTCTATTCCCTGAACACATCCTGTACTTTTCGTCCAGATGCCTTTGTTCCTGTAGCTCATTCTACTCGCAGTGCACCTTCTCCCTCTGTCAAAGCTCAGTAAAATCTTCAGGACTCACTTCCAATGCTATCCCCTGCCCCCAAAGTGGCTTCTGATGCTCGAAAGAAGATGTGAACTCTGTCACCATTTTCCACTACTCGGTGGTAACGTAGGATTTGTGCACTTTGTTGCCCTTGTACATTAAACACCCCCTTAAAGACAGGGACTAATAAATCTTCATTTTATGTTTTTATGAATTTATGAATTTAATGTTTCATTCTATTTGGCACTCTTAGACCTGCAGGCAATGTTGTTTTGGAACTGATGTCAGAGGGGGATTTTCTGAATAAATAAGAGTCAGCTAATGGGGATGGGAGATGGTATTTAAACATATTGTTGACTTCAAAAATAATAAAAAATAATACCTTAAAGTGCTTTAAATGGGTGGCTAACAAATGTAAAATTAATACCAGTTAACAAAACTTATTACCTCCTTTTGCCATCCAGATATTAGAAACATCCACGACTTATTTTTATGCAGAATTTCCTGCTGATAAGTATCAGCTCTAGCCATCTAGGTGAATAATCAAGTGTCATTTCTAATAAGTCAGTGGTTCCTGTCAAGAGTTGTGACCAATTAGAACTCACCCCGATGAGGAGGTGGCTGCTGGGGTTGCCTAGCAACAGCCAAGCTGGGAGGCACATTTAGATGCTCGTTTAGATTTAACCAGTGGCAAGTCAGAGTGACATTATGAGTCTGGCAAAGGAAAGCCAAATTATAACCCAGGATGGGGTACTCGTGATGAGGAGTGTGTGTTTTTTTTTAAATGCAAATGGAAAAGGAACATTTTAACCAGAATTTAAACAGTCCATCATTATACCAATTTTAATTAGGAGATTAGGTGTCAGTGGAATACAACTGTGTTGAAGGATAATGGTCCCTTGCTGCTAGAGAAATACCCAGACATTCTGGAAAATGGGCAACTGGTCAGGCAGAGACAATGTATTTTTGGGCTCCAAAGTATTTATTACCACAGCCACACTTGGTTGTAATGACTTTCATTTTTATTGTTTGGAAGGATTAAGAAATAAAAGCAAATATTAAGAATAGACTGCTGGAGGCTCATGCAGCCGAGAGAGAGCTGCTTACTGCAACATTACTGGGAGAGCGGGTTCTGTTCTAGAAGCCCTCGTGCACAATCGTCTGAAGAGTGTACAGTGAAAATTTAAAGGCCAAGCCAAACCGTGATGAAGACTGTAATCCTGCGAAGACTTTTGCACTGAAATGATCGCAGCTATGCATTTACTCATAAGCTGGCTATATCAACTTAAATTTTTTAAAATTGTAGTCATCCTGGAGTAATATGTCTTCTCCAAGGCAGGAAAGGCCTAGAGGGAATAATAACCACATCTGCCTCCGCCTTTAAGATTCATATATTATTGACTGTGCCTTCCTGACAGGAAACATCTGGATGAAAGTGAAAAATTAGGCAGAGCGCTGGATTCTTGGCGACTGTGAGAGATACCAGCCTTCCCTGTCAGTCTGGCTTTTCTTTAACTGAGTCCCTCTGCCCAGAGATATGATTGGCTCATTTGCTGCTGAGTGACACAACCAGCCAGGCTCAGGCTCCCCTGTATGAAGCTTCCAGCTCTCCTGTATCTGCTCAGCGGGTCACCATCAGCTTAGTGATGTGGGTGAATGAGGAAATCCCATTCCTTCTATTGTGCTTTGAGGACTGAGAAGACACGAGCCACCATATTGTGTAGGATCCATGGTCCATCCAGTTTGGAGCCTGGCCTCTGCTAGAGGCACTTAAAAATGGCGTCCCCCATGGACCACCAAAGTCACAGTGCCCTGTGGCCTCATTTCTCCCAGTTGCTGGCTTTGACGTTAACAACCCATGTTTTCACCTACTAAAAACTTATGTGAGCCCAGAACAAACAAGGTTAAACAGATTTCTTCACTGCAGACTCTCCCAACCCATTCATATACTAAGGTACATAGCTAATCTCTCAGAAGATGGTTGTCAGGGGTGCTTGGGTGGCTCAGTCAGTTAGGTGTCTGACTTCAGCTCAGGTCCTGATCTCAGGGTCCTGGGATCGAGTCCTGCTTCTAGCTCCCCACTCAGTAGGGAGTCTGCTACTCCCTTTCCCTCTCCCTCTGCCCCTCCTCCTGCTTGTGCTCTCTCTCTCTCAAATAAATAAATAAAATAAAATAAAAAAGAAGATGATTGGCAATATTTTATGGAATTGTATGACCATGGGCCTTTTCAGACCTCAACAATTTTAAGTCCTTTTCCTTGGTAGTAATTCATAGCTTGAAAATTCCTTATCATGTAAGTACAGTTTTGATGCTTTCCTCTTAAGTGTATTATTTTCTTCTTGGTTACACTGAAAGCTGCCACTTTTGTGCTGACTTACATAGTCTTAGAAGAGTCTTAGAAACTTACTCTAATTGACTTAATATTTGTAAAATCAGAAGAGCTTAGAGGAATTTACAAATGTGTAGATTGCACGGTATGCTCCCTCTTTCAGATGAATGATAAAATTTAAAAATAAAATTAGTGCTAACCTGGGTCCCCAGGGATTCCCCATTATTTATATTTTTCCCTCAGAGAGAATTAATTTAGTTCCAGTTTTGTTTCCTAAAATTAAATCTATTTACTTTCTGACCCATAATAAAGTTTTATACAACCCCAGGGTTACTCGTTAATAGTCTTTGGTAGAGAATCTAGCATAAGACTCTAAAAATCTCAATAAATCTACTGGTTGCCCTTTTAAAAAAATTCTCTTTTAGGGGACAGGGCGAACACTCTGGCAGGTCAACTGGGCAAAATATTTCCTAATAAAAACAAAAAATCCATCGTTTTCCCAGCAGCGCTCAGGAATCCTGTAACATAGACCTCAACAGCTTGGCTGTCACTGGACTATGATTTCGGTGGTCTCTTTTTCTGGAATCAGGAATGCAGCAACCAGATTTTCACCAGTGCCTTATCTTTCTACGTCATCCCAAATATGAAGCCAAAACCCAGTTTTATTTTAAATAAAAAATACGGCTTTGTGATTTAATGCTGATTTTAAAATCTTTTTTTTTTTTAATTTTTAAAATTTATTTATTTGAGAGAGAGAGAAACAGCATGAGAGGGGATAGGGTCAGAGGGAGAAGCAAGCTCCCCGCTGAGCCGGGAGCCCGATGTGGGACTCAATCCCAGGACTCGGGATCATGACCTGAGCTGAAGGCAGTCGCTTAACCAACTGAGCCACCCAGGCGCCTTAATGCTGATTTTAAAGTAACTTTCAAGCATTGCTGACAAAGCTGTCTAATATGTACATGGATAAAGACAGTGCCATCTCGGCCCTCTGAATATTAATAACACTTCCAGACACAGGTAGGAGAGGGCGTAGACTGCCAAGGTGCTAATGGAAACAAGCTGCAGAATTCCAAGGGAAAACAAATCTTTATTTCAAGAATAAATTCTGAAGTTTGATAACAGAAGTCCCCAAGCTATTTATGAATTCAGCAAGGAATGGAGATATTGATATTTCAAAGCTATTTCGGGGGAAGACGGGCTCAGGTGTCCATAATCGAGGGGAGGGCAGGCTCGGGTCTGTTGTCCAAGCTTCTCTCGTCATTTCTGCCTCCTCCACTCCGTGTCCCTGTGTGCCTCACTCTCCTCTCTCTGTCTTTGGGAACTGCTTTTTCTATTTCTGCATGTATATACCTGTGACTCTCTAAAGAGAAAGCCAATGATGTGCCTCATCCCCTTATTTAGCTTTTCCTTGATAAAATTATTCCCTTTTGTTTTACTTTTATCTTTGTCTTAACATACATCCTTCAGTAGAAAGCTTCCCGGCTCTTTGATTCTCCATCTGTCCATCCACCCACCTACCCGTCCATCCATCCATCCATTCATCCAGCAAATCATCACTGAGTACACATTATGTGCCTATTGCTATGCAGTTAATGATAGAGAAAAGAGGAGTAAATGGGCTATTAGCCGGCAGTAAAGCTACAGAGAAAAACAGAGCAGGGAAGGGGAGACAAGTTTCTGGGGCTCAGCTCCTGCAAGTCTGGGGAAACCCCAGGTCTTTGATGGTCAGGTGAGGGACCAAGAGGAAGACTCACACCAGTCCTTTCCACTCTGACTCTTACCAGAATTATGGCAGGGACATTGCAAAACATACAGATTCTCAGTCACCTGTAGAAGTTCTCATTCTGAGGTCCTAGAGTGGCTAGAATTATGTATTTTAACAAGGATTCTAAGTGATTCTGGTGCAACCCTTGGTCACACAGGGTTTGAGCACCAGTGACCTAGAGAGCAAAGGGCAATGGGTGGTTAAAGACCAAAGAAGCATCTAGAAACCTAGAGGGTCACTTAGGCTGGGGGAGGAGGTAGTCAGGGGCACTAAGACTGGCACCCTGCCCTCCCTCCCTCCTCCCCTCCACCCATCTTCCACAGGGTAGCAACTAGCCCTTGTCATAGCCTCCATCCTGTCTATACTTTGGTGCAGAGTGATCTGTGCTCAGAGTCCCAAACCTTGCTCTTCAGATTCCAAGGGAAGCTGCCTGTAGAATTAGAAAATTCTTTTCTTAGAATTTTAGAAATTCTAAGATTAGAATTTCTAAAATTCTAAATTAGAAAAATCTTTTCTTCCCCAAGAATGTTTAGCTTCCAAGACCACTGTCTCAATAGGGCTTGAGAAAGCCTGATGTGTGTGCAGGTCAAAACTGAGCACCGACCTCCTGATTCTGGAAGGCATCCCCTGCCTCCTTCTGAAGCAACACGCACCACTGATTCAGTGCAAGAAGGAAGACTACAGGAGACATGATTTGTAGAATACAACACACACAGACATTGCTTGAATGTTTGAAAATATTATCTTTGTCACATAGTTTTCTGTGCTGGTGTTCCTTTCTACCTAAGCAACATTTAACACCTTTGGCTGCTCCTTCCTCCTTGAAATACATTTCCCTTCCACATTCTCCTGGACTTCTATTGCAGGCTGCTCTTTTTGAGTCTTACTTGTAGGTCTCTCCTCTGCCCCTCACTTGAATATGGTTCTCACCACCACCCTCTTCTCTTCCTGTACTGCATGCACGCTGGGCGTGACCTTGCCATGTCTGTTTTTGATGACCATCTTTCCTGCCCTCTCTCTTGAGCTCCTGACCTGCAGTCAACTACTTCCTGACATATCTATTTAGATGCCCCCTCCCACCCAAGAACCTCAAACTCACCCAGTCTAAATGCCCCAGAGGTGGGGAGAGAGGTGACTATTGCTGCCACTGGAATGGCATCCTTTCTAATGGAAACCCCAGAACTTAAATTCAACTATATTGAGTGGGAAGATTTTTCAATAGAGTTAAGTTTACGGGTAGTATATGTTAAGTAATGGGGTAGAACTGAAGCAAAACCCAGGGAATCTGGTCTGTGAAATTTCTCCCTCCTCCCTTCCCCTCTCCCCTACTCCTTCACATCATATATGACCTCCCGCTTTCCCCTTGGTACCTTAGTGCAATAAACCACTTGGAGGAACTCTATTTTCTGCAACGAATCCAAAGCATTTTCTCCTTCTGAACCTAGGAGCACTGAATTTCTTTGGGAAACGACATTCTATCAGTTTTTGGAGTATACGCTATAGAGTGCTAAAGAAATCTAGACCTTGAAAAAAGACCCAGATTTATTATTTTTTTTCCCAAAGAAACAGCTCAGATCTGTCAAGAAAACTTTCTCCCCTTTCTTGCTTACTTAGAAAAAAAAAATCAGCTACCCTTCATCAATTTCTTTTCAACAAGTGATGAGATTCTGCATCTGCTGTGCTGCCCGAAACCACTGTCTACTCATGATCAAAGAAATTTGATGGGACATGTTTGAGCTAGTGATGTCAACCCTCGGTTTACCTACTTCTCTTCCCCACCCCTCTTTTCGGCTGCCTCAACATTTTAGTGACTGCCTGTAATAAAGGTGACACTCCCCCCACCTTGTCTGGGTGGTCATCCTAGTGCTTTGCAGTTTTTAAAGAAGCAGGCCCTTCCTTGGAACAGATCCTCACCCGAAATCTCAGTATGTAGCACAGCGAAGCGTGGAGCAGGGCCCGTTCCTCCAGCTGAAGCGAGACCGCCCGTCCTTGCGTTTCCCTGAGGGGATCTTACCCGGCGCTGGCTTCACATGGGAATCACCTGGGGAGCCGCAAAGCCCCTCAGACCCGGGCTGCCTTCCAAACCAGGCCGCTTTAATCAGAACTGGTGATGCGGGCCTCCGCCCTGGTTTTCAAAGCTCCCAGGTGATTCGCATGTGTACCTGCGGCTGAGGAGGGCAGTGTCTCCTGCTCCCCGCGCCCTCCCGGGTCAGACTGGGGCCTGCGAGGAGGGAACCGAGCGTGCGTGGGCAGCCCTACTAGGATCTGGGTCCGTTCTCATGCTGCCGTGTCCCATTCTGGGTGAAGCAGTGGCAGGCCCACGTGACCAGATGGTGGAGCTACGTTTCTCAAAGGGCTTTACCGGTAAGAAAGGAGAAATGTGTACTTCCTCTGTGTGAAACGTGTCTCCATACCTTAGTAGCTTCCAGACTTGGGCAGGAAAGATAGAAGTGCTGCTTCTGATCCCCCTAGGTTTCCACAGAGGCCCCGTTTGCTACCCTTTCCTTCCCCCCGCTCTCCAGATGGCCCCTGGGACGGTCCTAAGGAGGCTTAGAACAATGTTTGAAAATCACACGAAGGTAAGAGAGGCGAAGCATGTTCTGGAGTTGGATTAAGACGTTGGCTGTGCCACTTAAGCTGTGTGACGTGGAGCGTGTTACTTAACCTCTCTGTGCCTCAGTTTCCTTCTCTGTGCAGTGAGGGTGATCCTGATAGTACTGACCTCACAGGGATGTGGTGGAGATGACGTGCGGTGAGACAGATGCACAGATAAGAGCTCGGTGAGTTTCAGCTGGTGCTACAGGCTGAGCTCACCCGCCGCCCTCCAATACCAAAACCTCACCAAACGTGGGCAGGATCACTGGTTTCTGAGCGCATTTTATTGGATGGGATTAATTACGAAGTATGGGACCTCTCCCCTTCTGGGGGACTTCAGAAGATTTATAGGAATTCAACAGGACTGTATGGGTGAGCATCTTGAGTTTAAGAGTAGCTTTCATTTCTTGACCTGAAGACGGAGCCCAGGCTGGGTCTGGAACAGCTAGACATGGTGGATGGCTCTGGAAGGACGCTTGCTCTGGAGTTGCCCAGGTACTTGGGACTCTGAGTCAGTCCCTGAGCACTTCACATCAGAAGCGTTCAAGTGCTCGGTCCCCCAAATGCTTGCAGAATTCAGGCCAAACACCAAAGCCGGACCAGCCATTGGTGAAGATCATGTGTGACGGAACTTGGCCGAGAGGCAGGACCGAGGGCCGGAAGAAAAGGGTGGGTCTCTGGCTGGGGGAAAGAGGGAGCCCAGGGTTTTAAAGAGCTGGCAGCATGTTGTGTTCCTATCCCACTGACGCGGCCTCCAAGGTTACCCTGGGCATGCCTGTGTGCCTGGCGTTCACTCCTCCCCCGCGGCCCACGGCCCTCTCTTCCCTCCTTCAGACTGGATCCACAGCTCACCTTTGTTTCGAGGAGTTCTCTGGTTCCTCCCTATGGAAAAGGTGTTTCACCTGGGAGTTTATTAGAAATGCAGAATCTCAGCGCCCCCTCCTCCCAAGACCTGCTGAATCAGAATCTGCATTTTAACAAGATCCCCAGGCGAGCCATCAGACACGGAAGGAGGGGAGGCCCGGCTCCCGTTTTCTCCTGCGTGGCCTCAAAGTGCCCGGGGCAGAGTCTTGGGACCTCGCGGGGGTGCCAGACGCACTTGTACACTCGTAATTGTTTTGTGGCCACTGGAGATGGGGGAGCCTGAGGAAGTGGAAGCCACTCCAGTACACTCCCCCGGGCCTTTTTGCGTCCTAGGGAGCTTTGAAGGCCCCTGTGGGCAGGGCATTTTATTTATTTATTTATTTATTTATTTATTTAAAATTTTTTTAAAGATTTTATTTATTTATTTATTTGAGAGAGAGAGAATGAGACAGAGAGCACGAGAGGGAAGAGGGCAGAGGGAGAAGCAGGCTCCTCGCCGAGCAGGGAGCCCGATGAGGGACTCGATCCCGGGACTCCAGGATCATGACCTGAGCCGGAGGCAGTCGCTTAACCGACTGAGCCACCCAGGCGCCCCGGGCAGGGCATTTTAAAGTGCCGCGTGGACAAGGGGTGCCACGGAAACCCGCTCTCCATCATGATCTGGAGAGAAGGAACCGTAAGGGGTGAGTCTGCATTCCCTGCATCTTACCTTAGTCAGCTTTTCAGGACTGAAAGCCGAAGTCAGGACACTTCTGACCTCTTCCCATCTTCTGTCACGTAAAAACAGGATGCTGTGCATTACTGGTTTGGACTCCAAACCCGACACCTGAGAGAAACAAGCAGAAGATTAGGACACGAGGGAGGCAAAGCCACCTTGGTGACAATACGGGTCTATGACAAACACTCTAGTTAAAGTCTACCAATGACCCCCAAACTAGGAGAATTCTCTCGCAAGGATATGGAGGAAGCATGTAAAGGCTCACAGATAATGGTCCAAAGATTCATGGGTGAGGGCCCGGGGGTAGGCTCTGCTGACCCACTTCTACCCTCTTACAATGCGGTTCTCACCATACAAGTGACTCAGCGGCTTCTATGGGTCCTGCCGCCCCCCTGCGGAGCGAGAGTTCCCTGAGGACCACACAGAAGGCTTCTTGGAGTTGGGCTCGTCTTTCCTGGCATTGAGGTTCATGTCTGAACTTGGTGGCAAGAGATTTTGTGTGGCTGGATTGGTTACGTTGGGCCGGGAGATGACAGACTCGTGTCTCTGGCTCTTTGGGGACACGGGTGTGGAGGGGGAGAGAACGTGGGGAGTGTGGAGGGAGGGACAGGGAATAGCAAGAGAATCTTTCAGAAGTACGTCTCAACAGAGCTGCTTCGAAGAGGACTCCTTCACTGTGTTTCTGGGTTCTTCTAGTCAATCATTTTTCTCATTCAGCAAACATTTGTTGGGTCTCATATGTGCAAGGAGTTGGCTACACAGTGTCGAATAAAGAAGGCATTGCAGTGGTCTTCAAGGAGCTGACAGTCTCTTGGGGATGCAGACAGGAAGCCCCTACACTAACAAATATGCGTGTTATGAGAGAGAAATAGAGCCAGGTGAGAGAACGATAGGCCTAACTGGCCAGGAAGGAGGCTCTGAGGGGAGCTGTTCAAACTGAGTCTGAAAGCATGCAAAACATGAAAGCCCGCAAAACACTCCTCACCCTTCTTCCCAGGCCATTCTGTTCCAGTTTGAAACCAGCTACTCCTACCAGGTCATCCAAACTGGGGTCCCGCAAGCTGGTCGGAGTGCCCCCAGACCCAGGGCGCCAGGGTACAGGAAGGCAGGGGGATTGGAAGACCAAGCACTCTCTGGCACCTTGTTTGATGGACACTTTCACTATTTCTTTTCACTGTTTTTGAGTTGAAATATGAAGCCAGCCATCATAATTCAAAAGCCTGGTAAAAACTCGTGTTTAGAGGAAAATTATAATTTTCTGATAAAATATGAACATTCAAAATAAGCTATAAAACGTAACTGCCAAGTATCTAGGGGGGATTTAATTATATAGTAGAAGGAAGCTGCTGAGATATTTTTCTGCAGAGAAATCCCTCTCCCTATTTAGAATGAAATTCTTGAGGAGTGCCATGGTCATTATACAGAATTGTACTTTTATGGAATTTGGGGAATATGACCCATTTGTTTGGGTTCCAGAGTCAAAGGAGGAAATGGTACATTATGTAAATTTGCATATTGGCAAACACCCAGTCCTGGGCCACGCTACATGTAATGAAGCATTTCAGTGCAAGGAGAGCTGGGTGGTGGTTTATGGGGTTCTGACGGAACAGAATATATTAGAGGTAAGAGTCATGGTTGATTGGATCTTGCATCTGTCCTTCAGACCTAAGGATTGGATCCATGAGATTTTTTTAATCTTGCACCCAGAGGACAGATCTAATCTTCCACATAATACGTCAGCGTTGTCCTCAAATATCTTCCTCATCAGCCTGCCATGCCAACACTCTCCTCTCAGCCCACAGCTGCCATTAGAATTCTCCATTTCATGATGGGAAATTTCAGGGCATTGGTTAGAGTCGTGTTTTCGTTTCTAGAGATGACACTGTGAGAGGGAGAGCAGCTGATCGGTCCCTTCAGAAGAGCGGTGGGGTGATGAGGGGACAGTTTGACAGATTTTGGAATGTGTAGCTGGAAAGAGAAGACTTGTTAGATCAGAGAGTGGTACTTAGGATGCACTGAAAACTTACTGAATGCATATTTTGTGGAAGAGGAAATTTAGGTTGTTTCAGTGACCCTGAGGGGTAGAAGTGGGTTCTGTTGTGGAAGCTATGGGGAAAATTCCAGCTCATCTAAAGGAGAACCTCTGAGCAGTCAAAATCCAGAATTGTTCCAAGATAAAATAACCTGCTTTGAGTGATGAGCCCCTGTCACTGCTGACTGTAATCCATTTTGGGGAAATTCGACACAAGAGGCTTGAGCTTCCAGGGGGGATGGGTCTAAATGACTCTTAAGGACTCTTCCAGCCCTGAGGCTTCATCTCCAGGGGAACACTACAGGCTTGTCTGCACATATATATACTTTTCAATTGTGGCAAAATACACGCAATGTAAAACTTACCATCATAACCATCTCTAAGCATACAGTTGTGTAGCGTTAAGTATATTCATACTGTGCAACCATCTCCACCATCTGTCCACAGAACGCTTTTCATCTTGCACAACTGAAATTCTGTGCCTATCGAACACTAACTCCCTTGTCCCCTCCCCCAGCCCTGTTTCTGCATAATAATTGGCTCCATTTACTGAGTGATGCTTCCAGAGCTCAGCCCTCCAGAGGGCTCTCTCCTGAGGTCCGAGACTGGGAGTATTGAGACAGGAAGGAAGATCCAGAGAAACAGGGCTTTCTAGACTCCTGTCCGCCCAGCCCTGTCGCCTGAGTCTCAGCGCAGGTGCCTCCAATCACTCTGCAGCCAGGGGGTTTCCAGACTACAGGCCATAACCAGCCATGAAATCAAGGTAGTGGATGGCAAACAGCATTTTAGAAAAGAAAAGCTAAGGGAAACAGGGAATAGAACGGTGTAGAAGATACTCTGAGGAGCATTTCAAAGTAAGAATAAGTATTTTGTTTTCAAGATAGGGGTGTGTGTGTGTGTTTGTGTGTATGTGTGTGTGTAAGAGAGAGCATGTGAGAGTGTATGTGTGTGGGAGAGTGTGTGGGTGTGTATTCTGTGTCATAATGTGAAATGTGTTTTTACACAGTCAAAAAATTTCCAAAAGCCTACTCTAACCTAAACCCCCAAACTGGGAGTGTTCCCCCCTCCCTCGACTAAAATCCTGCCCATTGCGGAGTTACCAAGCTGTGGCCATTTACTGAGCACTACTATGTGCCAGGTTCTACGTCAGCACCGAAACTATCGAGACAAAGAATGGAATCCTTGCCCTCAAAGGAGCTCACAGTTGACTTGGAGGGTGGGAATGGGGTGGTTTACAACCAGTATATGTTGATCTTACCGCTAACAAAGTGCTTTTCACATCATTTCCTTCATCTTGGGGTGATTCTCCAGGAATTATGAAAACACTGCTTTGGCAAGCCGCAATAGCTCAATAGTGGCCTTGTGGCCAAGTTCCCCTGGGACAGCTGAATGCGTTTGTCTTTTCCATTAAGATCTCTTAAAATGGAGTCTAGCTTCTTATTAGGCCCGCCAAGCATAAGCTTTACACTTTGAAGAACCACATCATCCGGAGGAACGAGTTATTAAAGCAAACCAACACCTCGACATTCTGTGTTCCCAGGAAGAGAGCACCATGCATGGGGGGTTGAGCGTGGGCCAGACCCGTGGCCTGAGAGAGCCACACGAGAACCACCAACTCTTTCTGGAAAATGCTGCAAAATGCAAAATGCATGCAGTGCATGTTTTTGCTATCACTGAGCAGGTGTGTCATGATGAAAAATGTGTAAGAGGCCTAATAGAATATGAAGCTGGAGCCCTCCCCGCCCCCCCCAAAAAAGGTTTCTTGTGTCCTGGCACCTGCAAGAACGTTGACTTAAGATGTGTATGATCTCTGTGATGCCTTGGCAGGGCAGTCAGCAATCCTCCAACAGCCACACCGGGCTGCAGGCAGTCTACAGAGGGAGGTGCTTCTGAAGACTCCAAGATACTGTTACAGATCTCCGGTCATGAGGCCAGTGTTGCCAACCCGTTCAGTGTAAAGTATGTCAGGTACGCTGCAAAAATATGAATATCAAAGTGTGCCATGATCACAAGATGCTGGGCCTGCGGTTGCCTTTCAAATTCTCACACAACCTTGCCCAGATGAGGAAGCTCTATGGCACCACCTCTTTCTCTCCTCATCTGCGTCTGTGAAACCTCTTGCTCGGCCCCTTATTATATGACTCAACAAAAGCTCTAGAATTCTCTCACCTGGATAAGCCCAAATTCTATGAAAACATGTTATTTTCACCATATGACGACTGCTATCCGGCTGTACAAAGATTTCAAACAAACAGCTTAGATTGGGTGCTTTGATGTAGAAAAAGTGTTCTGTCCCCACTGGGGCGTTTTTATCCATTCACTCTTGGCCAGTAGAAAATGATCCTAAGGGACACACTTTGGTCCCTCGCTCTGCCTTAGACTGGGACTGGTCTAGGGGGCTGGCTTAGGGGGCCCAACCCAGATCAGGCTCCATCTGCCAACTCGGCATCAGCTGCTGGAAGGAAGGGGACCTCTTTTAATTTGGACGAAGTCCTGATATGGGCACTGGTGGCCCTGCCTGATATAGGGTTCCTAGAATTTTATCCACCAAAGAGGAGGAAACCACAGGCTTGGTACTGTGTTTCTGTGAGCCCTATACCCCACAGCGCGGGCTCCTCCTGACTGGGGGAGGGGTCCGGGGGGCTTGTGAAGTCTTCGGAGGAACACCTTCAAAAGCTCCCAGCAGTTTCTTGACAGAAACAGTGTTAAGGAGAGACAGGTATTCTGGATATAGCACCTGTCACGCTTGACTGGGAGAAGAAATTCTCCCAGTGGGCCCTGAGAGGGACCCTTGCATCTGAAGCTCAAAACGGCTCTCTGGGATGCTGGCGGGATGCCATGGTTTACCCACTGGCGCTGACTGCCCCCTGCACTGGGAGCCAAACACACCTGGTGGTTAGTTCTTCTAACGCTCATACTTGATGCAAGAGGAAAGAGGCTCAGAGAAGTTGAAGGACTGGTCCATGTCACTCAGCTAATAAAAGGCAGGAAATCCAGAATCTGATTTCATTTCTTTAAGCCATGTGCCTTTCACCATACCGCTGGGCCATGGCTTGTAGAAGGTGGGGGAGAATGG